GCAACCTAGGCTCTAATACCAACTTGTCACGGCCCAAAGTAATGATGTCGTGATGGCGCCTATCGTGGAACTAGGCAAGCCGACTCATTTCCAAAACAAACCAATATTTTCATTTCAAAGATAATTTCAAGGCTATTTAACATAAAAACCTTCGTAAAGGATTTCAAATCAAAACAAAAATAAAATGCGAAAAAGAAAACCCCGACATCGGGGTGTCACTAGTCATGAGCATCTACTATAATTGTTCTGACAATATCTAGACTAACATAGTCTGAAAAATAGCTAAATACAACTAAAGGAAGATAAGAGGGAGAAGAGCAGGGCTGCGATCGCCAGGAAGCTACCTTGCTATCCGCGAGAAAAATCTACAACCGGAATAGTCAACAGCTGCTACCATATCCAAATACACCAGGATCTGCACACAAGGTGCAGGGAGTAACGTGAGTACGCCAACTCAGTAAGTAACAACATTAAATAAAGATTTAGAAGTAGTGACGGGCAATAATGTAAGTAAAGTTCATATCACAAAAATTCAGTAAAATACATCATGCTTTTAAAACCAGGGTTTGAATCAAATAAGCTCTTTTAAATCCAGTTCCAGTAAAATTATTTAAAGACATCTTTCAACAATTTTCAAACCAAGGCTCAATGCAAAGGTGAGCAAAAATAATGAAATCATAATCAGCCCCTCGGGCAACATCACTTATATACAGCTGATATTAGGCTATATTTATGCAATTTAGACATTATTTACACTCTAATTTAGCCGCACTTTATTGATATTTGAATGCTAAAAGAAAACAAAATGCTCTAATTAAGAATTTGATGTATTGCAGGAGCTACTCGGAGCTAGGAGGGAGCTAACGAGTGTTTTGGAGTCAACATGGAGTGTGAAAGGCCAATTGAAGGATAGCCCAGTCGAAAAGGAGCGAGAAAAGCAAGCGAGACGACCCCTCTAGGTGCGCGGCCGCGAACTGGGCAGTGAATTGGCCCGCAAACTCAAGGCAGTGAGGAAGTGAAAATCTGTAGCCGGATCCGCGGTCGAAAGCCAAACACGCAGGGTTAATTATGTAATTTCCTAGGTGACTAACCTATACCTATATGAAGCCTAAACTCGCCCAGAAGTCAGATATAGCTGGTTTTAGAAGATTTTAGAGGCAAGAATTAGGGAGAGAAGACATATAATTTCCTAAGAGTTTTCATCATCTTCTTCATACTTCTATTTGTTGATTATGAATTATTTTAATGATTTATTTTCCATTAGTATGAGTAGCTAAATCTATTATCTAGGGTTGATGGAAATAATTGTTGGATGAAGTCTTGACACTATTTTGTTATAATTGAGCCGTGTTTGTTCTATGATTGTTCAACTACGTATTGTATTGTGGTTAATTGAAAGGGCCCTTGATTAATCGTGTCTAGTTGCCTTGTGTTGATTGAGAAAGAACACTTGGTTAGATTGTTGTTGAACAACACCACTTTTGGGTAAGTTAAGAGATTAATTACTTGAATTTAAAAGTGTGGTTAGAAACAACGAAGCTTTGGTGGGATAATTCTGAGTTGCATAAATTGTTAACTAGAGTAGTTTGTGAGAATGCTTCTAGTAAATTATCGTAATTGATCGAGAGATAATTACGGTAGCCCGGAACTCATAATCCTCATAGAGTACTACGGCGAGATTATAGCTAAAGAGTTAAAAAGTAATCCAAAAATTGAGGAAATCAATAGCCCTAGATCCTTTTACCCTTGAATTCAATTTTAGTCTTGATTATTGCTAATTGTATTATCATTTTTCCTTAACTAAATAAATTCCACTGATTATTCATAAAACTCTTGCATTCGGAAGTTGTCTGAGCTTATCATTAGCATTATTTAAAGTTGTAGTAAATAGGTTAGTTCCCAGTGGGATTAGACTCCGGACTTGAACCGGGTTATATTTGCAGTGACCGGTTAGTCCTCTTTACAAGGCATAGTTGAGCGTGATCAAATTTTTGCACCGTTGCTGGGGAACTAATGGTGTTATTTATTACAACTGGAAGAATTGCTAGGATTCTTAGTTTAGATCAATTTCTTACGGTGTTTAAATTTTTCCATTGAAATTCTCATGTTTGAATTCTCCTGTGACTCAGGTGTATGCCTAGAAGCTCTTCGAGGACTGGTGATCTTTTTGAAGGACTCTCAGACCCCGAGAAAGCATTTAGGGCATAAAATTGAGCCAACAAGAAGAACAAACAGTTACAACAAAAAAACACACTCGAAATTGAAATGGACAACGTGGACGATGTCAACGAAAATAATAGGAATAATCGGGTTGACCCAAACAACGGAGTGGAGGCACCTCTTGTGCTAGAAGTTGCTCTTTATGATTGGGCATAACCAACTGCTGATAACCTAGCCACCGCCATTGTTGTACCTTAGATACAAGCGGAGACATTCCAGATCACCAACAACATGCTGCATCTGTTGCACAATAAGGGACTGTTCTCCGGGTCATACATTGAAGACCCACAACAACAAGCTATTATTATTTACATTCTCTGTGACTGGAGAGGCTCAAAATTGGCTGAATTCGCTCCCAATAAACTCCATTGCCACTTGGGAAGAATTAGTCAAACAGTTCTTAAACAAGTTTTATCCTCCCAACAAGACTACAAGGCAGATTGATGAGATATTGTAGTTCAGGCAGAAACCAACTAAGACCTTGCAAGAAACCTGGGAGAGGTTCAAGGGTATGCTAGTGAAGTGTCCACACCATGGAATTCCATATCAGATGTCGGGACAGAGATTCTACATGGGTTTAGCAGACAGTTTGAATGCCAATGTAGATGCTTTAGCTGGGGGTGCATTTTTGAGCAAGACATTCATAGAGTGCAAGATTCTTCTTGACAAGATGGCTCAAAATTCAGGTTGGATGGCAAGAGGTACAACACTTACACCAATATTTCATTCTGTTGCTCTTGACCCAAACAATTCCCATGCAGAGAACATAGCCACTCTCATGACTCAGATGAGCATATTGACAAAGAAAATTGATGAGATGGGCACAAAGCAAGTGCACATTGTTGATACAACAAATGGAGGATTGTGAACTCCTTGCATAAACCAGTCATATGTGTGCTCGTGGAGTGGAGAGAATGACAACCAGGGCTTCAAAGAAAACATGAATTATGTCAATAATTTTGGAGGTCAGAGGCAAGGTGGGCAACAATGGGGACCAGCACCAAACTAGTAGTACAGCCCCAACCTGCCACAACACAACCCCAATTTTGAAGGCGCACGACCACAACGTCAAGTTGTGCCTTATCAAAGGCAGCAAGGCTATAATTAGCAGCACCAGCAACAATTGGCCTACCAACCACCTCATCAACAATAGGACAACAACATGGTAGAAATCAGGGGTATGCTGCAACAACTCATTGGAACAAATGGTAAGATGCAAGAAAAATTAGCAGCACATGATTCAGCAATCAAAGGCATTGAAATTCAATGGGACAGTTGTCTATGGACTTGAACAATATCCCCAAGGAACATTGCCTGCAGATACAAATATTAACCCAAAGGAGCAAAACCCAAATCAGCTAATGGCAGTGAGTCTCAGGAATGGAAGAGATTTAGACAGAGAGCAAGCAGTTGTTCAATCTAGGAGAGAGACTATGCTGACTACTCCAGTTACATTAGAGGCAAATGGGTCAGCAGAACTCACCGAGGTGGTAGTTGAACAAGCATAGGTTGACAAGGGTAAGGTGAAGGAAGGTGAACAAGTCTCAGAACAGGTGGCACCTCTTGTGCCAGACGCTTCCAACAAAGAAAATACATCGAGTAGTGGACAGAGGTTGACTCTTGCACCATTCCCTAAAAGATTGGCAAAACAAAAGAAAGATGATTAATATAGGAAATTCATGGAAATGCTTTGACAGATTCAATTGAATATTCCATTGATGGATACTTTGAGCGAAATGCCAAGGTATGCAAAAATGATGAAGGACCTGATGTCACGGAAATTTGACTTCCAGGACCTGTCCAATGTAACTCTGACACAGACCTGCAGCGCGGTAGTGACAAGACCTATGGCCCAAAAGGTGTCTGATCCAGGTAGCTTCACTATCCCATGCACTATTGGGAGTTATGCTTTTGCTAAAGCATTGTGTGACTTGGGAGCCAGCATAAACTTGATGCCCTTGGCAATCTATACAAAACTAGGCATTGGCAGAGCTAGACCGACCTCAATGTTGCTGCATATGGTTGATCGCACAGTCAAAATACCGACAAGCATTCTTGATGATGTGCTTGTGCAAGTGGGGAAATTTGTATTTCCTACAGACTTTGTTATTCTTGACTGTCAGGTGGATGAAGAGATACCCATCATTCTGGGAAGGCCACTCTTAGCCACTGGGAGAGCATTAATTGATTGTGAGACTGGAGAGTTGAAAATGTGGTTGAACAATGAAGAAATAATATTCAACGTTCAACAATCCATGAGGAGACCCAGTGAATTTGCAAACTGCACACTAGTGGAGGTTGTGGATGTGATACTGCAAGAAGAGGATGAGACCCTTAATGTCAAGGATCCACTAGAAGCCTGCTTGATGAATTTGGAAGATATGGACGGTGAAGGGTTGGCAGAGTGGGTCATGGCTCTCGAAGGTCAAGGATTCTGGAAAAGGGAACCTCAGTTCGAGCCCCTACGCTTAGAAGAGAGAGCAATACCACCTGCAAAACCATCAATAGAGGAGCCACCATAGCTGGACTTGAAACCCCTTCTAGCCCACCTCAGGTATGCTTTCTTGGGGCCTAATTCTACTTTGCCTGTTATTATATCATTTGGTTTGCTAGTTGTGAAGGTAGAGAAACTATTGCAGGTATTTCAAGAATGTAAGACTGCCATTGGTTGGACCATGGCAGACATAAAGGGTATCAGCCCAGCCTTTTGCATGCATAAGATTCTTCTGGAAGAGGGGCACAAACCTTCCGGGGAGCATCAACGACGGCTGAACCCGAATATGAAGGAAGTAGTAAAGAAGGAAGTGATCAAGTGGCTGGATACATGTATCATCTTCCCCATCTCTGACAGCAATTGGGCCAGTCCTGTCCAATATGTGCCGAAAAAGAGAGGAATGACGGTCGTACAAAATGAGAATAATGAGTTGATCTCGGCTCGTACAATCATGGGGTGGCGGATTTTCATGGACTATCGGAAACTGAACACAGCCACTCGAAAGAACCATTTCACATTGCCTTTCATTGACCAAATGTTGGACAGGTTAGCTGGGCGGTCCCACTTCTATTTCTTGGATGGATACTCGGGGTATAACTAGATCTCAATAGCCCCGTAAGACAGAGAGAAAACATCATTCACTTGTCCATATGGCATCTTTGCCTTTCGGAGAATGCTCTTTGGACTTTGCAATGCACCGGCTACATTCCAGCGGTGCATGTTAGCCATTTTCACTGACATGGTGGAGGATATTATGGAGGTATTTATGTATGATTTCTCTATGGCGGGGGATTCATTTGAAGATTGTCTTCACAACTTAAAAAGAGTGCTCAAAAGATGTGTGGAGACAAATCTAGTGCTGAATTGGGAAAGGTGCCATTTTATGGTACAAGAAGGAATAGTGTTGGGGCATCGAGTGTCCAGAAAGGGCATTGAAGTCGACCATGCCAAGGTTGATGTGATTGAGAAGCTGCCACCGCCCACTTCGGTAAAGGCAGTGAGACGTTTCCTTGGGCACGCCGGGTTCTATAGGCGATTCATTAAAGAGTTTTCCAAAATTGCTAACCCCTTATGTAAGCTTCTTGAAAAGGATCAGCCCTTTGTGTTTTCTAATGATTGCAGGTTGGTTTTTGAGGAGCTGAAGAAGATATTGGTGACTGCACCCATCACAGTTGCACCCAACTGGGAGCAACCGTTCGAGCTCATGTGCGACGCCAGTGATTATGCTATAGGAGCAGTCTTAGGGCAACGCAAAGACAAGATGATGCACCCAATTTACTATGCAAGCAGGACGCTCAGTGCTGCACAACTCAATTACACTGTAAAGAAAAAGGAAATGATGGTTGTAGTGTTTGCCTTCGACAAATTCAAGTCGTACTTAATTGGTTCAAAAGTTATTGTTTATACTGACCATGCTGCAATTAGCTACTTGATTGCAAAGAAGGAGTCAAAAGCCATGCTTGATTCGCTGGGTTCTTTTGCTACAAGAATTCGATCTGGAAATCCGTGACAGAAAGGGGACGGACAATCAAGTGGCAGACCACCTCTCAAGATTGGATGGAGCTGAAAAGAGAATGGAGGTTGAAGACATAACAGAGACATTCTCGGATGAACAGTTACTTGTTGTGACAATGGAGGAGACGCCATGGTATGCTGATATTACCAACTATTTAGCAAGCGGTATTGTACCTTATGAACTCTCCTAATTTCAAAAGAAAAAGTTCTTCCGCGATTGTCGAGCCTATTATTGGGAAGAACCTCTATTGTTTAAAATATGTGTAGATAACATGATCCGGAGGTGTATCCCCGAGAAAGATCAACCTTCTGTATGCAGGCTTTCCATGCTTCACCATATGGTGGACACTTCAGAGGAATCCGGAAAATAGCAAAATTGTTGGAATCGGGATTGTATTGGCCTATCTTGTTCAAGGATGCCCATGCTTGGGTCAAAAGTTGCGATGAATGCCAAAGAACAGGCAACATATCTCGCCGTCACGAGATGTCAAAGACCACAATTCAAGAGGTGGAGGCTTTTGATATGTGGGGGATCGAGTTTATGGGGACGTTCGTCAGCTCGTATGGTAACAAATATATATTGGTAGCAGTTGACTATGTCTCCAAGTGGATCGAAGCGGTGGATCTCCCAACCAATGATGCAAAAGGGGTAACCAGTTTCCTAAAGAAAAACATCTTCACACGTTTTGTCACCCCGAGAGCTATAATCAGTGATGGTGGAACCCATTTTTGCAATAGAGCGTTCGCACGTCTGTTGGAAAAGTATGGAGTTCTCCACAAAGTAGCCACACCGTACCACCCACAGACGAGCGGGCAAGTTGAAGTGTTCAATAGAGAAATTAAAAGTGTTCTGACAAAGACAGTGAATGCAACAAGGACTAATTGGGCGAAGAAGATGGATGATGCATTACGGGCATACCGCATAGCATTCAAAACTCCAATTGGTATGTCACCGTACAGGTTGGTGTTTGGAAAGGCATGCCACCTTCCGGTAGAGCTCGAACATAAAGCACTTTGGGCACCGCGGCAGTTGAATCTGGATATAGAGAGCGCAGGCACTAGCAGAGTCACTGAGTTACATGAGCTCGAGGAATTCAGGTTCCATGCATTTGAGAATACTAGATTATACAAAGAAAATATGAAAATGATCCATGATAAGCACATCTTAGATCGGAACTTCAAGCCCGGAGATCTAGTGTTGTTATACAACTCGAGATTGAGATTGTTTTCTGGGTAAGTTAAGTCCCGATGGTCAGACCCTTCAGAGTGGTGCAAGTGTTCTCAAGTGGAGCTGTAGAGATTGAATCCAAAGATGGGACAAACAAGTTCACGCTAAATGGGCAAAGGTTGAAACTTTATCTTGGAATGGTCAAAGAGAAAGTGGATAGAGTGGTCATAACTTTGGAAGAGCCCCAGTACAAAAACTAGGAGTAATAATGAAAGCCTGCGTCATGCCGCGACGTTAAATCAAGCACTTCCTGGGAGGCAACCCATGGTTTGTCGTAAATCGTCGTGCCGCGACGTTAACTTAGGCGCCTTTTGGGAGGCAACCCATTATTTTCTTACTTTGGTTGTTGTAATTGATTTTGAACGACTTTGACCGATCTACTAGTGTACAGGGCAAAACGTATGCGCATCGGAAGTCTTTGGGGGTCGAAATTAGCCCGAGAATAGGTAAAAATACGGCAAAGAAATAAATTGGTTGGAGGCGGAGATCCGCTGCCACGAATTTGACCGCGGATTTTAGCCTGTGTTCTATACCCCGTCCGCGGCCGCGTATTGGACCGCAGATTAGGGCGCAGATTTTTGGTCCCCCTCTGCCCAGAATTCGCGACCGCGAATTGGACCGCGGATATGAGGCATGTCCAGGTAAGTTTTTTTTTAATTTTTAGTCAAAATGTTTTTTTATTTTCCCTAACTTAGACGCCCACCACCCCCACTTCCCTTCCCGCTTCCCCCGCTTCTCTTTTTTCCTTCCTAACTTCAAGTCCCCAAACCCTTCTCC